TCCTACAATATGTACAATATCTTCTACACAATGTACATAATATGCAACCGGATAACGCTGCTGCCTGTCCGCACCACCGCAACGGCTGTGCCCGTGGGACCGTGGCGACGGCGGCTATCTGATGGTCATCTGCGGAGAGCATTAAGTAATTTATAGATAAACCATTTAACTGGCGGCCGGCCGACTGTAGATTACGGTTAATATTAATCGTACGATGATTTATGTACGATTATTATTGTCGACACGACCACTATTATAATACACGGTGTCTCTTCCTCTACGCGAATGTCACCCACGCGCCTCTTAAAACTTAACTAAACTTATATACCGGCAGCAGCAGCACCTGTATGATCCACCTTGCCAACAAGCGGCGTATAATATGAGACGGTAACCCACGGTCTTCGCACACACCGCGAGCACCGGACAATAATAATAATTTATGATCGCACTAATAACATATTCTATTTATTTATAATAATAATAATAATAATGGTAATGATATGAAGATATAACTGTCGTCAGAGGGGACGTTGCGCGAAACCAGATGCGGTCACGGTATATACTCGTACTACCGTGGCCGGGCGGAGGTGACGACCGTTCATAACCGGTCCAATGACATTATATATGTTATATTATTATGTATGTTTTTTTTCACATCTCTCCGCGTCTTGTTTCGTCTCCAGTGATCTCCCATTGTATTGTAAGATATCTGTTTTTTTTTGTTTTTTATCATCTTCGACAGCTGCAGAATAGTTTAATATTCCGCTGGATTATTTTTCACTAACGGCCTTAATATTATAACATAGTCAACGAGATCTACTATGATTGATATATGACATAAAAAAACCTTAAACAAATCAATCTAACGCGATACCCTGAATATTCTCTATAGATAAAATGTAAGAAAAATTATATAACAAAAATAAATTATCATTACCGAAAAAAAACTTTTAACATTTTAATTGGTACATAATTATCAATATATTACACAATATATAGTATAAGGAAAGTAATTTTATTGTGGTGATAAAAAATAAATCAACGACAAACGTGTTTATAAATTTGTGTAAGATGCTCAAAAAGGTTGGATGCGAAATTATTATTTTTTTTTAATGAAATTTTGATCTTAATAACTCGACTTTTGCTATAATAATCAATCAACTTCCGATTGTTTATTATGACACTCGTTTACACGTCTTGCGTAACCGACGTCGGCCGTTGCGTCTAACGAGATTGTTTAACAAGTATTTTATCGCTTACATTTTTGCAAAAAAAAAAAATGGGTCTTACTACGGTTGGGTTATTGCAAACGCGGTTGCAGCAAGTTTGTATTAATGGTGTTGTGTTTTGTGAACGGAGAAAGGAATTATTAACGAGAGGCCGGAGGAACGAGCTCAATGAAAGTTGATCGGTCGACCGATTATTATTAGTTTCAATTCAGTCACGTAAACGATCGCCATAATTAACAACGTAGATTTAAAGCCTTGGATTGTTTATATATATATATATATATATATATATATATTGTATCTTTTTTCATCTCAATATTCGTGTCCAATAAAAACTTAATTGCAAGTTGACGATTATTACATTTTTTATTCTCGCCATTACGAAATGACACACATAACAATGTGATTAACCCCTTTTTTTTTCCTGTCTCGTTGGACGTTCATTCATATAACGGACAGGCATTTTTTTCCTTTCCAACACTAGCGCAACTCCACGCAGGCAAGGCCGAGGCCGGAAACTATTTGTCCGACACGAGAGTATAATATAATTATATAAAAAAAGTAATATTGTTTTATTTTTTTTATCCGACCGCACCGACGTTATGCCAACGACAACGACGACGGTCAAATGCCGCAACACCGAGTCGAGCACGACTTTCTTGACCCACGCTCGGGTTTGTATTAAAAAAAAATACCAAGTGTAATAATAATTATAATAATATGCACACACGAGTTGCGTTGCGGTCGTAGGTGAGAATTTCAATTTCAACAAATACCACGTTTTTAATGTGTTTCTACATTATAATATACAACTACACGGCGATAGTCGGAATAAATCACATATATTGTATAAGCGTCGTTGCTTATGATTCGCAGAGAAGGAAGCACAGTACATACCTATGTATGTATGTGCATTGTGGATAAGTCGATACAATATTTAGATACATGGTCTAGGTCTGGTGCAGTAGAAATTGATCAAGAGAAGTGGTGTGAGTGTCACATTGATAATTTCCAATTTTTAAACAAATATACAATGTAAACTAGCTTATGATAAATTGGTACTCCCCGGGTTTGTTTTGTGTACGTTGAGCAAATAATCATTAGGTTAGGTCAGAAAGCTGTCGAGGGGAGAGTTAACCATTAGACGTCACTGGTGTGAAGGACAGTTATCGGTTATATATACTTGCTGTGTGTAGTGTATGAGAAGACAACATAGGGCAGTGACGGCAAGGAGGTCGCAAGCGGCTTAGTCACCGGCCGTGCCGATGAGTTATGATGACAATTACCGACAGATATACCCTGGGTGGCCAAAGGGGTTATAGTGTGTGGTTATTATTATTATATATTGTGTACATATAAGTGTATATATATATATATATATATATACTTTAATTGAATGTTCCTTTTTCAACTCATCTGATCGTACTGCTGCTGCAACGGTGTTCGGATTACAACCGTTTATCTCGGCGGCATTTCTTCCTATGCCGTGTAAGTGTGTGTTTGTGTGTCTATGTATTAGGTATAAGGCAGTCCAAGTCGGTTTTTAAGAGCGGCACGCACCGCGTGTATTAAATGTTACGCTTTATAATATATACTATTTTTGCTGCTCTTATTTTTTCCCTCCTCCTTTGCGCGCCATGTTAAATATCCAGAGCACCGACGACTGTCACGACCGTTGTATGTACCAGCTCGAGTCGTGGTCACCGACGGTCGGTCAGCCAGGCCGGTCCGGTCATGATCGCCAACACGGTCGGCGACTTTTGTGTATGTGTGTGTGTGGATTTTTCGCGCTTAGCCAAGTACAGTTGTACAGCTGATAGCTCATGTAGACACACACTGGTATACGTACACGGACGACGACGGGGACCCATGCTGGGAGACCGCAGGTTGATATATATTCACAGGACTGCTCCCTCGGCCGAGCCGGGACGCGGTCGCTTTAATATACACACATAAACATATATTGCTCGAGGATGAAATATCATCGGGATTTAATGAGCAACGCGCTCGGGAACTTATCCGGTGCGGTTTATTTTTTTCGCACCGACACTCGAGGGGTACATAAACAACTGTCGTCGAGTCACACCGACAGCGTGGTCGTCACACGACCGACAGAGGTTGCAGCTGTAAAATATTTCGGACGTCGTTTGTCCGAGAATATTCAAAAGGCGGAGAAGACGGTCCGGGTGTGTGGCGACTGCGACTTATAACGCGCATTAACATACAGAAGAATTCCTAAGTCAGTCAGTCACGACGGTATCTTGGCTCTGCGACTCGGCGGCAGTAACGCGCGTGATTCTTCTCATTGCTCCGGTATAAATCGTGTATGGGCCCACTATTAGGTTAGGTACCTTGTGCGTTTAAATAAGTCGAGGCGCCCGACACCGCAACCGACATACGTAACAGCGGCGGCGCGATCGCAGATGATCTACAAACGTCGCGTACAAACGATTTGTATAATAATAAGTAATAACAGTACATCAGATCCGGATGAATTATATACATTGTTTGACGACAACTATACCGACGTTTATCCCTTGGGCGCATCTTATATGTATGTAAAATTGTTCCATATAATATACAGTAACACAAAAACGTGAACGACCGCGTTCATATGTGCGCTTATTGTAAATGATCTCCATCGGATGTTTAATATATTACAGTAGTTGGTATATTATATAAAAGCGGAAGCGCGACTTGTTACCACCCGTCCAAGTATAGCCGCGGGTACACGCCTTATGCGCCGGGCTTTTGCTAACCGACAATGGTCACCGCAGTCGTCTAAGTATATATAGTTATATATTTAATAGTATATATATATATATATATATATATTATACGGTCCGAGATAATATTATATAACCACGTTTTTAATGGGTGTCGACTAAATCCGTGGCCGTACTATATCAACGTCAGCAGTAAATGCTCTCCTTTGTGCAACAACCGATAGACCAATATTATAACGGTTCCCGTATGGCACGCGTGTACTTAGAGCTTTTTTAAAACTAGTAGAGTTTTTCTGTAAGCAGACAGATTGGAATTGGTATCTCGCGTTTTCACTTTCACTGTGTACTTATGTGATAAATTAAATCCGACTCAATCATTCAGCGGATACGGCTCCTGTTATAATTATTATTTATGGACGTCCATAGTATGTCTCTGCGACGAAGCAGTAACGGAGTACCTCCCTCGATACGCCCATAATATGCAAGCGTGCAAACATTGTTTAGCAGAAGTTATGACCGCGTGCCGCCGCCGTTAGTGTTCGAGATAATTATATTTAATTGAACGGGCCGGGTAGCAACGCAAATGTAATATGTTGCGTTATCAAAATATCTTTTTACCGATAACCGCGAGTCGACTATAAATCCCGGCAAATCTAGAAATCTAACAAACGAGTCCTATTGAGTACTGTATATAATACTTTGATTCATGTGCAAACCGTTACGCATGCTAGTTAGCCGTTGGAGATGATAGAACACGATAATATGACGGGTTTGCCGCGTTTAAGCTAAGCAATATTTCATAATTTCTATCTAGTCGGCGATTAATTATATAAAATATATTACAACATAATTCACATTTCACATTATTTTGGTGTGCGGTATTTTGGATGTAAAAAAAAGAAGAAAGTTACAAAACCCGTTTGTTTTACAAACATTTACCTAGTTTAAATCCAAAACAGTCTATTGCTAACTCTGCCTATTAATGTGCCTTTTATTCCGGACATTAAAAGAAGCTATAAAGTGAAAAAAATGTCAAAATCCTTACCTTTAGTATGCAAGTGCCCACAGGTCGGTCTTCGGAAACGTCCACATTGTAGAAGCTTTGATCGAATATGGGTTCGTTGTCGTTGAGGTCGTGTATGGTGACGTGTACGGTGGTCGTGCCGGTCAACTGCGGCCGTCCGTTGTCGATGGCCAACACGACAAAAGTGGGTTCGGGATCCCTCTCGCAGTCCATGTGCGCCTTGGTAGCGATCAAGCCGGTCGTGGCGTCCACTTGGAACCACTGGGGCGGTGGCTCGCGCATTTTGTACGTCAACTGCGCGTTGTCGCCCTCGTCTTTGTCGGCCGCGGCCACCCGCACTACCGACGTGCCGGGTTCCGCTGACTCGGACACGCTGGCCCAATACTCGGAGCTGCCGAATTCCGGCCGGTTGTCGTTGACGTCCGTGACGAGCAGATGGAACGTTTTGGACGCGTGTAACGGCGGACTGCCCGTGTCCGTGGCTACGACGCTCAGCGTGTAATTCGGCCGGGACTCCCTGTCCAAGGGCAGGGCAACGATGACCAAGTAAATGATGTTGTCCTGGGTGGTTAGCCCGAAGTGTCCGTCGCCGCCGTGTAGGGTCACGTTCACGTTGGAGTACTCTTCCTTGGAGTCGGGATCGTGCACGGATATGCGGGCCACGAACTCTCCGGGTTGCGCGCGTTCCGATATCTTGGGCGTCGCGTCGTCGCTTAGGAATATCACGTTGATGTCCGGCTGGTTGTCGTTAACGTCGGTCACGCGAACCGTCACAAACGCCGTCGTCTCCAGCGGCTGATCGCCCCTGTCTTTGGCCACCACTACGAGTTCGTGCACCTCCTTTGCCTCGTAGTCGAGCGGCTTGTTTACCGAAATGACGCCCGTGCGCTTGTCGATAGCGAAAAAGCCTTCCTTGTCGCTCTGCCGCCTGTTTATTGAATACTCTACGACGCCGTTGTCGCCGTCGTCCACGTCTGCGGCGAACACCTGCAATATGCTCGTAGACACGGTGGCGTTTTCAAGTACGATGCCGTAGTATCGACTCTGGTTGAACATCGGCTGGTTGTCGTTGACGTCCAATATCGTTACGTTTACCGTCATGGTGCCCTTGAGCGGTGGCACGCCTCCGTCGTAAGCTTCAATCACCAGCCCGTAAGCCGGCGTGGTCTCCCTATCCAAGTAGCCGTTGATCTGCAAATCCAGGTAGAGCACGCCGTCCTTTTCGCGGTGCGACGACAACCTAAACGCGTTATTCACGTTGCCGGAAACGATGGCGTACCTCTGCGTGTTGTACTGGCCGAGGTCCGCGTCCCTGGCCGGGTTCAACGTACGTTTCACATCCCTGGGCGTGTTCTCCGGAAACTCCACTCGCATGTGGCCACTGGGAAAAGTGGGCGCGTTGTCGTTGTCGTCCAACACCCGGACCACCACGCGCACGTTGTCGCCGCTGAGCGGGATGGCTACCAGCGTGTACGACGCTCTCGTCTCCCTGTCCAACGGTACGCGCGTCCGGATCTCGCCCGTGTTCTGGTCGGTAATCAAGTCCGTGTCGACCGCGCTACCCGGGACCGGCACGATCAGGTACGGCGGACCGCTGTCCTTGGAACCGTCGCCGATGAAACCGATCCGGGTGCCTACCGGCGTCGACTCGGACACCTCCAGGTGCCGTTCGTGCTCGCCGGCCACGGCAGCGGCCACGGCCAGCAGCCACCACCATCGCAACAGTGCCATTATCACCGCATTTCTGCAAATCTCCTGTAATCACACAAAACAAAAACTAAGTATTAATTATTGCTACTGATAATTTTTAGAATATATATTGATGTTCTGGAATAGATTGAGATGTGTTTTGGTCATGTTGAAAGAAAGGAGGAAAACAAAATAGTAAACTGAGTAGCTAAGGTGGAAATGTGGCCAGTGAATACATATTTGGCCGACCGATCCCATTCGTACGGGACGAGCAAAACAACGACATATTTTAGTTTATATTATTAGGACATCTCATGTTTTGATATTATGTTATACCTACAATATCGCCTACACGTTACGTTATCAAATACAATGTACCTCAATACCGAGATGGTAAACGTAAAAGCTTCTTTGTGCACGGCGAGATTAAGACGAGAGTGGCTTATTTTACTCTTTATTTTTACTATTAAAATCTATTGAGCAAGGATCGTGAGATGGCCACGCCTCGTGGTCACAATACCAAGTGAAATGTGTTATTTTTTTGTTTATCAAAGTGTTGTGTGATCGATGTAAAAAACGAGATTAGCAATAAAGAATAAAACCGCTCCGTAATGTTCACTCGGACGGTGGGACGAAAAAAAAAAAAGACTTCACCGAGTTCGGAACGAACAAGGATAAAAGTATTTTGAAGGTGATAACGAGATTACAACAAAGCGCATAGTAATGGAAACAGAAGTATATTTTTATTTTTCTATTTATAGAAGTGCCCAAATATCGGTAGATCGGACGGCGAGTATATGGAATGCGCACAATAGAATTAAAGATCGCTTTCAAAATCAAAACTTCACACTTGTCAACCGACACACAGTGCATCTCACCACCACACACGCCAGTATGTAATATTGTTATCGCGGCCTTCATCTCATAATATTCATTTCCACTGACCGCGATTGTTATCCCTCCGGACCGTGCAGCTAACAGAATATCCGGACGCGTTTGTCGACCGAATTCACACCTAACCACCACCACCAGTGGTCGTCACTCGTTGTCACACACTCACGACAATGTTATTGAATTCTCTACGGCGCTTATGAATATGAAATAATGAAAATATGTTTAAAATTAAACCGACGGCCGACTGTGCGGTGCCCATCTAAATACAGTGGTAATCAAAATCCGAACGTTTACGACACCGCCCAGTTTTGATTGAACGCCAAAAAATTTGTTTGGTTTGAAGTTTTAATAAAATTACAAGCCAGTTTTACGGAAATCGCCTTCTTCACGGCTGCGCGGACCGAAGTGAATTAAGGTTTCTTGGTGTAGCAGAGACTCGTACGAAGTAGTGTTGGCTATAGTAGCTAGCCCGTGTGTGTGTGTAAAAGTAGCGCGTTTTCGATGGATTTATCAGTTAGAGACCGGCCGTGAAAGTATGTACGTGTTGGAACTTGAAAGGGAAAAAGGTACACCGAAAACGGTTAGCCGAGGTTAAAAAAAAACATCCCAAATAGTATTTAGCAGCAATTATTGGGACATGTTTTTGTTTATTTGCAAGATTATTAATCAGTTTCAACCGTTACGTTAGATTCGCTTTTATATGTATATTTTTTTAAGATTAACAAGCAGACATTAATAAACTATTGCGACAGGATGCGCGATATTGTGTACACTTAACCGAAGTAAACGATTTTTTTACACGTGTCACGCGAGTGACAGACAGAAACGCCAAACTTTAACGCGAAGCCCAATTATTAAAGCAGACAAGTCAAGGACGCGTTTAGCGCAATGGGAACGGATTTTTTGGGTTCATGGGCTGTTATTTATCACTATGCTTCGGACCGTCCGCGTTATCCTACACAGTTTATAAGCCTGTCCCGTTTAATGCAATGAGACAAATTCACACTTTCTATTCGTGCGCGTTACACACCTAATCGAAAACTTTCACACGCCGAGTAGCTTCTTTTCGAGGAAACCGATAAAATCGATCTTGTGACAACCGATTAAGCGTTAAATTTGTTAGAGATATTAAAAAAAAAAAAAATCATGTTGCACCGACGACGTTAGCAACGTTGCACTCGAGTTTAGTATAGGTACCACTTGAGTAACAAAATACAACAACCGACACAATATTATACAAACGCCGCTTGTTATATTATATTATATATTACGCCAATGGGACGTGATGTGTTGTCCAGTCGTGACTCGAGACACTGCCGGCGCTCTAAAGGAATCGCGTTTGGCAATTTCCAAAATAGTAATCAATTTTTTAATTCCAATCGATGAGCGGCCGCAATTTCGCCAGAGACCGATCAAAACAGCACCGCATATGATGTTATCATCATCATCATCGCGTCTACATAACAATATTAAGTACATAATATAATCCTCTAGGTCGCGTTTGGGTACACGCGGTCAAAACTGGTTTGGTATGTACAGTAATAATAATAATAATAATATGTAATCGAAAATCACCACTTTGGAAACCCTCATTCGTTACGCTCGTGTCAAAACACGAAGTTTCCTCTCAAAAACGACACTACAAGTGCAGGTCACGTGGCGGCTACCGTCACCTCGACGCAGCTCTAATTACTTATACAATATAAAAAACATTAAAAAAAAGACAACCGTGCACTCGTTGACAGACGGTTGTTGTTATTATATTCTATTAAAAAAAAAATATTATATTAAAATATACGACAGTCGACTACCGCGTCAGATTTGTGGCGTTAATCCCTTTTACGCCCGTCGGACGTACAGTATTTACATAATAATAATAATAATATGAGAACTACTTAAAGGTGTTCACAGGGTGGTTCACAAACTATATATATATATATATATGTATGATTTGTCAATCGACGCCACAAACGGTTAGGTGCGAACCGGTTCATAATAATATATATATATATATAGTCAACGAATATTCACCTGTTTAGGATTTTGGCGCTTTTTTTTTTTTGCAGGAACCGCATTAATGCGGCAAAATGGCTGACGTCCGGTCGAAAGGATACAGTATTCAGTAATAATAATAATACATTGTTGCGTCCTACAGACTTTGTGTGTGCGTGTACAGTAACGATGCACCTATATACACCAGTTAATAACACTCGGCGAGTCCTCCGAGGGCATTTTTTTTCCTTCTTTTATGGACTCCACTACTCTATAATTATTGTCAATGAAAACACTCACACGTACGCGGCAAACGAGATAATTATTTTAACTAGCAACAAAGTCACTGTTAAAAGAAGAAAAAAAAAACAATAGAATATTTTATCTTCTGCGCTGCTACTGCTAATCGCGCCAGTACACGGTAACAATTATCTTCTTTCGACTGCGTTACTACAAAAAAAGGATTACCCATTGGCGGAGGAGATCAGGGCCGAAGGAGGGGGATACTAAAAACCTTAAAACTGCTTTTCAAAATACTTACATTTATTTTTTAGCGAGATATTTGTTGAAATACAAATAACTGTAACAGTAATTTTGAGTTTTTCAGAATCCCAAGCTCCCCCCTTACCTGATCACCGCCAATGGGATTACCCCAACTTAACCGGTAACCTCCCTGAAAAAAAATAAAAGGGGGTGTCCTGTAGCAAGCCGTCTACGGTATGGTACATATTACAGGACCCGGAAATCCCTTCAGACGGGGGAGACGGAATGTTGAGCACCACTGGTCCAATGGTCTCTCGTCTCTGCTTAACCGCTGTCGCTGTCGTCATCGTCCGTATGTTAATAATGACAGCGTTGGTAATTGAAATAAAAAAAAAAATACTAGGTATTTAAATTTGAGTTTAGGAAACTCGTTCCGTGTGTGCTCCATAATAAATCCGTACACTATCTGTCCGCGCGTTTCCTCTCTCTCTCCTCTTCCTCGGATTCCCTTCTCGTACATAGCTGGAAATTATACAAAACCAAAATGCGCACACACGACACATACTCATTAAATCGAAAAAAAAAAAACGAAGACAAAAATACCTATTCCGTAGCGTATTGTGCGTTACTTATTTTGTACATGGCACGCGCGCGCTACACGTGTAGTGGGAAAAAAAACCTATCCCATATAATCGCATCGTTGACTTGTTGTATTAATTATTTTTTTTTTTTTTAAATCTGTCTTATTAAAAAGATAAATAACTACAAAATCGAATGACCTCTGCCGAGTGTCATATTTACCGGCGCCAATTAAATTTATAACTATTGAAAAAAATAATAAATAAATAACGTTTGCAAATTCCAACTTTGGAGAAACTTTTTAACGTAGGCTGCTAACTGTGTATTTTTTAATCATTGTCATCCCAGTGTGTTCGACGGACCCCGGATGGTAACACACGAGAGTCGGTGCAACATATAGAATACACACATCAGTGCATTGTCATCGGTACATAATATTATACTATATATATATATATATATGTACATTACACAGTACAGGTGTGTTGGGCCCGTATTTTGGGACTCACTGGAGCAGACCGCGGTCGCCACCATGGCTATAATATTATAACCTAACCACTGGTGCATAGCCACCGGCATGCAGGAGGCTGTGGCCCCGAACACATCATTAAGTTTACATTTATTTAACGACGGCGGCGGAGAGCCCCCTGGACTCCTCGTACGCGCACACCGCTGGCCATTTTTTTTTCTTTCTAACAGAGTGGGCGACCGGCATCCGAACCGAATTCCTAAACAACCATTAGTGTTAAAATTGGAGGCAATCATCCCGCAGTTGTTGTTGTTGTAGTCTGAAGAAATTTTTACCTTTTCGTTTGTTATTATTACTGTTATTATTGTTGCACCGGCCGAATGAGATTCCGATTGTAAAAAAAAAAAAAAATATCCCCACGATGGAACCCGCGCAATGGTCCCCGGAGACCTGTGCAAATGGCATGGCGCAGGTATACTAATAACAGGTACCGGTGTCAAAAGAAAAAAGAAACAAAACAAATTATAATAAACATACATCCGGAAACGTAGGTACAGACGTTTATTATTAAAAATTATTATTTAGGTGGGCACATGTGCGCGTTGTACGCCACGAGCATTGAGTTTATCGCATTGATTTATGAACTCAG